ATAAACATAAAACTGCAATTTGGGTTATATCATTATACCCCCCGCTTGAAAAGTGGGGGTATATAGTAATCGGGATTTCCGTCCGTCCGTCCGTCTGTCTGTCCGTCCGTCTGTTACGCTTTATCTCTTATCCGCAACTCCTCTTATACTACTGAGTGAAATTTAATGAAACTTTCACAGAATCTTTATTATATATTGCCATTGTGCACCTCCTATTTTACTTTTTTATTCCACACGTATTTTAGGTTTCCCATAGCAAAAACATGGACATTGCCGTTATATCTTTACCTATGACGTCATATGTATAGAAGCTTCTGGATAACATTTGATAGGACGAGTTATTCCTCTTTACACATTACCGTAATACAATATATAGCAACACATGGACATTATGGGAGGCGGGGGTATCATTTAGTGAGCTCATTGCTCACAGTACCTCTAGTTATACCCCCTGCTTGAAAAGCGGGAGGGTATATAGTAATCGTTAATTCCGTCCGTCTGTACGTCTGTCCGTCCGTCTGTCTGTCCGTCCGTCCTTCCGTCTGTCCGTCCGTCCGTCTGTTACGCTTTTGGGTACCCTTCTCTTATCCGCAACTCCTCTCATACCAATGTAGGAAATTTAATGAAACTTTCACAGAATCTTTATTACATATTGCTATTGTGCACCTCCTATTCTACTTTTTGATCCGACAAATATTTTGAATTTTCCAGAACAAAACATGGATACTGCCATTATATTCATATGGGAGGCGAGGGGTATTATTTAGTGAGCTCATTGCTCACAGTACCTCTAGTTTTGTCTACATGTCTAGCTCTTGTACATACAAGGACCTTATGTAGCCTTGTCAGTTCCTAGTGCTATAGATCCCATCAAGAATTCAGGCAAGATATTTAAACAATATATGCTTGATTTTAATATACCCCCCGCTTGAAAAGTGGGAGGGTATATAGTAATCGGGATTTCCGTCCGTCCGTCCGTCTGTTACGCTTTATCTCTTATCCGCAACTCCTCTTATACTACTGAGTGAAATTTAATGAAACTTTCACAGAATCTTTATTACATATTGCCATTGTGCACCTCCTATTTTACTTTTTTATTCGACTTGTATTTTAGGTTTCCCATAGCAAAACATGGAAATAGCCATTATATGACGTCACATATAGAAGCTTCTGGATAACATTTGATAGGACGAGTTATTCCTCCTTACACATTACCGTAAAACAATATATAGCAACGCATGGACATTGTGGGAGGCTGGGGGTATCATTTAGTGAGCTCATTGCTCACAGTACCTCTAGTTTTATTTATAGAGACATATGCTAACATTTTAAGCCCATAGTTTTTCAGATTCTATAAAGTTTGCGATGAATTGATAAATAACATCTAAATAGGTCGAAAATACAATACGCCAGGATATAACAATTTAAGCTTAATGAAAGTTTTTGCAGACAGACAAACGGCTGGGCAGACAGACGGACAAGGCAAAACTATATGCCCCTGAATCTTCGATTATGGGTCATAATTAACTGTGAATCAAACAAAATATAAAAAAATTATTTTGTCGTATAAATTTCACATTTTGACGCAGTAACATGAAAGAGCCAACATGTTAAAAACATCGGGTTCGGGATTACATTTCGTGAAGTTTGTCAGATTTGTTGATAACTCATTAACTGTTTAAGTATTTTCTAGAAGAAAACAAACATGTCTGGTACATTTTACTGTAGATCCTTACTCCTCAGAGTATGTTTTAACTGCAAAAATCATCTACAACAACAGACAAAGCACATGCATTCGGATGCCGGAGATCCTAGGTTAGTACTTAGTATACATCTCGTATGTTCGGTCAGATCGGTCCCATTAAACCTGTTGATGAACTCATGAAGAATGTTTTATTCCATTGTACATTGGTGTATGTTGTTATAAATATGTTATTTCAGCAAAGAGTGATCTCTGATTTAGAGTAAATAGTTTACATATTACATTGGAATTAGCTCCTCAAAAAGAAAATACGGTCATTTTGCATGTTTTATTAGCTCACCTGAGGCTGAGAGGAGGGAGCTTTTCTGATAAAAATTTGTCTGTCGTTGTTGTTGCGGTTACCTTGGTTAACTTATTTACATTTTTGTCCTTTTTTCCAGAACCACGGGGTCAATATCAATCAAACTTAGCACAGAGTATTCTTGGGAATGGGATTTGTTCAAATGAAGGACCACATCCTCTTCCAAGGGGAGATAATTAAAGATAAAGTTAAAAAAGAAAATTGGGCTGGGTCATTTAAATATCTTCTTCTTAAGAACCATTTGGCCAAAAGAATTTGAAATTTATGTGAAAGCTTCCTAACAAATTCGATTTTCTTCATATCCTGACTCCTCAAGATAGGATGGAGCCACTATTGGTAATCAAGGTTTCATTTTTGTATAAACTTGTAAAAGTCTTTTAAAAATCTTCTTTTCGAGAATAGCAAAGGCATGACCAGTCATACGGATGTGGAAGCATCCTCAGATTTGTAGATTCAAATTTGTACAAATAAAGACCCCGAAGAGGGTTGAGCTTTTATGGATGAGCAAAGTTCTACTTGGATATTACAAAGAACCTTAACAAAATATTTTTCTCAAGAATAGCTGAGCTATGATTAATCTTATTTACATAGAACTATTCTTAAAAAGTTGAGATTCAAATTTGCTCAAATCTAAATCATCTGAGGTTGTGGTGGAGCTACAATGAGGTCAAAGTTTTCCTAAATAAAACAGAGGAGAAATTTAATGAAAATGTTCTGATGAAGAACAGCAAATCATGATCAATCATATTTATATTAAATCATGACTTCTGGGAGAAGGGTGGGGCAATTAAAGTAATTTACATAGAAATAAACATGATAAATAGGAAAGATATGTAAAAATCTCCTTCTCAAGAACAGAAAAGCTATGATCAGTCATATTTAAAAGGAAACTTCCACAGTACATGTAGTATATATTCAGGTTTGTTCAAACTATGACCCCAGGGGTAGGTGGCGGGGACAACAAACCAAATTTTACATAAGAATACATGTACATAGGAAAAAATATTTTCTCAGGTACAGTAAAAACATGATCAATTATATTTTCTCAGAAGCATTATAAGATAGTTTAGATTCAGTTTGTTCAAATCATGAACACAAAGGGCTATAGTTACTCGGGTGAGCATTATGGTCCATAGACTACTTGTGCTTCACTGACTATTACTCTATATTAAATATGTAAAACAAGATAATATTTTGATGCAGAGCAGCGAATTGTCTGCAGACATTCCACATACAGTCATTTTGTCTTTTACACTTGTAGCATATTCAATACAAAATAAGTCACTGTAGCAATATTTTCTCAATTTTAATAAATACTCAACTCCAGTAATTTTCCAGAAACTTGGTATCATGTCAAGTTGCTTTTTATACCCCCTGCTTGAAAAGTGGGAGGGTATATAGTAATCGGGATTTCCGTCTGTACGTCCGTTTGTCAGTGTGTCTGTCCGTCCGTCTGTTACGCTTTATCTCTTATCTGCAACTCCTCTTATACTACTGAGTGCAATTTAATGAAACTTTCACAGAATCTTTATTACATATTGCCATTGTGCACCTCCTATTTTATTTTTTTATTCGACACATATTTTAGGTTTCCAATAGCAAAACATGGACATTGCCATTATATGTTTACCTATGATGTCACATATAGAAGCTTCTGGATAACATTTGATAGGACGAGTTATTCCTCTTTACACATTACCGTAAAACAATATATAGCAACACATGGACATTATGGGAGGGGGGGGGGTATCATTTAGTGAGCTCATTGCTCACAGAACCTCTAGTTTTTTTTACATTATACAATCCCATTCTGGGGAGCACCTCTTGTAAGCTTTTTTTGTAAAATTATTAATTTGATATTTCCCTCACACTCACTATACATGTATCTGTTTACTCTGGACTGGCAGAGAGTTTTCCACAATATATAATATAATAAATTTTAATTCTTATTCAGTAGTTTGATTTATGTAAGCCAATGAAGTAAGTATAACTTTAAGCATCTACATATAACTACATGTATATGAAATTTTATTTTAATGGTAAATGTTTTTATTTTGACAGGATTTATTCACTTATTCGACAAGGGAATACAATGTTCTTTGATGAACAGAGGCGAAGGTAAGATTATTGATCGATGTAGAATTAACTCATAGATCTGAGTTATAGAAAAGTTCTCATTCTTTTATTCTGTAATTTATTTTTTTCTGAAGCAATGAAGAATATGATTTTTAAAACAGGAGTCATATTTTCTAAGGAGAAAGATTCTCATATCTGGCTCTAATTTTGAGATTTCAGAATAAAAAAAAATATTGTATTCTGTGTAACAGATTATGATTTTTATATGAATATTGAGCTGTTTTCTTTTAAGCCTTATTCAGTATCTTTGTTATTGTAGGTAACTATACTTTGACATTTAATTGATCAGCTTTATATATTTAGTGGGATTTTATCACACAAAATTACAGTGAATGGTGCACGAATTCATTTTGAAACAAGTGGAAGTGGACCTCACACTATCCTTTTGTTACCAGGAGCTCTCGGTAAGTTTAAGGGAGTCTTGTATGTGGCATTTAGCTTGAGACCCAGAATTTCTAGCTGTGCTGGTCAGAGACCAGAAGAGCTTATGCAACAGCATGACTGTGTCCATCAACCGTCCATCTGTATGTCCTACTGTTTGTCTGTCTGTCTGTAAGCAAAATTTTAAAGTCCTACTACTCTCAGTGTTTTGGTCTAATTTCAGTATAATTGACAGACAGCATGTTTTCTTGCTTTTGTAAATCTTTATATAAAAGTATTTAATAAATTTATTTGAAATAAATTTATATTAAGTTGACTTATTTCAGGATCTACCAGGACGGACTTTTCTAAGCAGCTGACAGACTTTAACAAGAAGGACTATACGCTGATAGCCTTTGACCCCCGGGGGTACGGTAAAAGTATCCCTCCCCAGCGTACCTGGCCCCTAGAGTTCTTACAGCGGGATGCTGATGATGCCAATGGGCTGTGTATGGTAAAGTTCAACTGAATAGAAAAGAATATATTACTGAAGGGTTATCAAACTGTGTGCAGTTAATCCTGTAGCAGTCCTCAATGATTAAAAAGGGAGGGGGGGGTGAAGACTTTAAGAGAACTTTATATTACATTACTGTGGAAGTACTTTTTTCTGCATGGTATTAATTTACACTATGTATGCATACTTAAAGTTTATACTAATGCAATCAAAGACATTTGCATAATTTTATACATGTGGATTCGACTAAATTTGTGAATCAATCAATTTTTTAATAAGAAGAAAAGTATGTTTACAGTACCAGGTAAACAACATATATTTATACATTCATGAGTTTCTAAATGCATTGCTGTTGTAGAAACTAGGACTGAAGTCAGTGTCAGTGATGGGCTGGAGTGATGGGGGAATCACGGGGATGATTCTGGCCGCCCAGAATACCTCCCTCGTAAAAAACCTCATCATCTGGGGGGCCAACGCTTATGTCACGGAGCAGGACATGCTGATCTTTAACAGTTAAGTCATTTGTTATTATAAAGAACTTATCAGTGTTCATACTCTTGTCATCTAATCCTGAAAACAACGAAAGGAGAAGACTGCATTTATGTGTGGTTATAATTTAACACAGAAAAAAGAACATTGTGTTACATGTGTATATGTAAAGAAATAAAAACTTTTATTACATTTTCAAGGTGAAATAAGCAATATGTTTACTGAGTAAAAATAAGAATTTTTTTCTGACTTTGTTAATTGGAGGGTTTGTATATTTTTTTATGTTAACTAGTTACCTGGGTACTGTTTGACAGCACTCATGAATATGCCTGTGTCGGAGCATATTAGAACAGTGCTGTTCTTTTACAATGATGATGCTCCTCCTTGCTATTGTGACTTTAAATGTGAGTGATTTTCAGGTATTCGGGACATTAAT